TCGCCTATGTTTGTGGGCGAGTAAAGCAAAATAAGGGGAAACGGTTTTCTTGTTTTTTTTCCGAAAACCGCAAATAGTATATGCATGCATGTGTTAGACTAATCGACAGAAGCTGGTGTTGCACAGCTTTCACATCTTTATGCACACAATAAATTTGAGCTGAAACGTTTTTGATAGTAGAGGGCAAAAACTTGCAATGTGGAAAGCATTAGAATAAGAGAGATTGCATTATCGATTTATATCAACACTCCTTTGCATTAAGGAAAACCGTGTGAGCAACAAAATATGCACTTTTTAAAGCTTTTTTAGAGCATTTTTAATTTTTGATATATAAATATTATTAATTTGTTATTTTACTTTTTTTTGTCATTATTTTTCGAAACACGTGTTTTAATTTACTGAGCTCTCATCCCTATCTTTTAATTTATGTACGACGTTTGGTTTTAAGCAATGATCGTCTCCTCAAGGTTTGTTTTGGAGTCAAGCTAGTATGCTAGTGATGCCTTTTCGCCAATTTTTTGTTTTACGTTCGAATTCGTGCCTTTTAACTAGCTCTTGCTAAGCCCGTTTTGCGCATATGGTCGTTCTCAGCAATGTTTGTTCAGCTGTTATATTGAAGGCTTTGTAAAAAAAACGGCTAAATTTTACCAGGAAGAAAATTAAATGGCTTCGAGATTGCCAAATTTGTCTTGCTGAATTCGTTGATTTCGTTTGTAGTGCATTTGTATTATCTAATGTATAGTTTGGTACACTCGCTCATTTTCTCTGTGTCATGCCCCAATTTCTATTAGTGCATTCTGTCTGATAACTGTTTACTTTAAATATTTTTTTTTTGAAATTGAGATGTTTCACTTTGTGTCTTGGTAGATTGTAGGTTGCTCTACTGCATGACAGGGTTCAGGGCCTTCTCAAAATGTGCCTTGCGCCAATTTTGTGATCTGTTTACGACGTGGAAATCATGAAAAATTACAGTATCTCGTTGTGTTTATGTATAGTTAAATTCGGGCGCATTCTTCAGACTATTGTCTTTTAGTGTATACTTGTGTTTCTGTTTAATCGCACCTTGCTATTTATTGAGTCAAGAATTTTTTTGTAGGTCTTTATTACACACATTGCGAAAGTGCAAGTACTGAATGTCTTATCATATTCCATAAGGTTGTGAAACCTGTTTTTTCGCCCACCTTTTTAGTCTCTCGAGCGGTTCATTTACCTGGGTGAAACCAAACTGGAAGGATTATAAAGTGGAACATCCGAAACTTGTTCGCCATGTTAAACGTCTGCAGGAACTTGGCTTGAAGGATCCGTGGGTCCGGTGGGTTGGGGCTGCTAGAACCTCGGATTTTTTTGAGTTTAATCTCTAAATCATTTTTTATTTCTGGTTTTTAGAAACTACGCTTGGCTATATTCACCTCGCATCTATAAGACTCCATGGCAGCTGTGCAAGAGTTGTTTTTTCAATCGTTTGCCGCATGGCCTTGCTATAGCTATTGTATATACTTTTTGCCAGTCGGCGTTCATCAAATGGTATAACGAGAATGGCTACGGTGAAGCACATGCCCATTAGAATTCAGGAGCTTGTTTTGTAGTACCATTTAGTGTATTTTCCCTCGTAATAAATTGTCTTGTGACAAATCTTACTGTCATAACCCTTTTCCGTCGGCTATTTATATGTTTATGCTCTTTAATTTATTCCACCTTTGTTAATTCTGAGTTTAGTTCTTTTGATTAAGATTACCTGGATTGCCATATCCCAATTCTAGTACTTCCAAGATATATCATCAGTTATCCATTTGTATTATGGATTATAAATCAATCCATAATAAAACCAACGCAATAGAAGACGAGTTTCTAGAGAAGAACAAGACATTCAAGCAATCGGTGTGTCATCTCGCTATTGTATCATCACTTTCGACAGCGTGCACCACGGTCTGTCGTTTTATTGTTATTCGTGACTTCCGATTTTTTACATTCATTTTAACAAAGGATGACCCAAAATATTTTTAAATGGCATGTTATTGATGTTCCAAGTTAAAATATTGCTGATTTAGTATTGATACAGTAGTCAAGTGTGCCGCCACTGATTTGACAAGACCAGACAACTTAAAAAAGGTTTTCGTTTGTAAATTTCTTAGGTGGCGTGGTTCCTTTTTGAGGGCCTACTGTTGCGAGACGCAAAAAGGTGACCTTGCGTAGCAGTACAACACTCTACTACATCGGAACGATACCACTGCTCCTTTTCGTTTCTCAAACAGCATTAAATGAATATTGTAGAAATTTAGGGGCATATTTTAATGAAAACGGAAACTTTAGATATGATTTTAAATAACGGCATCGCTTTAGTTTTCTAAGGTGTTTAATTTAACCTTCCAAAGGGAGCCAACGATTTAGGAGTGATTTTGTCTCAGCAGCAGACGTCTGTAAAGATAGTTGTGCGCATCAGCAACCAACTTGAGTTGATTTAAACCAGTCAAGTAGGCATCAAGATATTTGAGTTAGCGAAATCGCCATTGGCAGCGAATTAATCACAAAACGGAATACATGGTTAGGCTGACGTGGTAGTTCCGAAGTCACGAACAAAATTTACAAATATTTAAGTATTAGCGATACTCCTGCCCATGAAGGGCTGTTGTTACAAGGTCACATATTACCCCTTCATGGCAGGAGTTGATTTTAGACAATGACCATCTTGTGGCAAAATAGGCGCAGTGATTCAAATCATTAATTTATGTTGAAACGCCAATTTCCACGTTTATTTTACAGACGGCTCATATTCAGCAGTCTGGTGAGATTCCTACGCAAGTCGTAGCCTAACGTCTTACAAATTGATGCCAATTATTTCTCGTACCTCCAGTACACATGTGAAATTTTACACACGTCGGGTTTTGTGGCCAGAAGATGCCGAGCGTTCTCACAATTATAGTCCTTTCAAGTTGGGGTATCTTCTTCAAAGTTTCGCCGTTAGTGGGCCTGTTTGTACTTATTGCACTCTGGTAGTTCGAAGTTTACGCTAACTTTGCCAAGTGTTCGTTAATACGCTGTTGTCATAGCTCTTAACAGAATTGAAACGTGTTGCAAATCCGTATCAGTCAAGTACAACTGTGAATACTTCGTTGTCACCAATAATGGATTTGGAAGTAGCAGCATGCAGTCTTTTTGAAACTATCAAGCTAAGGCTTGTAGTATCAGTGATGCGACTGAATATTATGGTTGCCGACGCTCTGTAAGCTTATGTAAGAGAGGGGTCTTTAATCAAGCTATTACGCGATTCCATGAGTGTCATTTCCTGTGCACATGAGGAAATCTCCGACTTACAAGGGACTGCGGTCGTGTCGTTAATGGGACATCCTTGTAATCAAGTCGAGTAGGAGTGGGCCATGTTCCTGATTTTAATGTTCCCGACCAATTTAATGGGCACCTTAGGTTCAAGTGGGAACGTGATTTCATTTTAACCGATTTTTGGCAATGTGTGTAATCCTTTGTAGAAAAGAATGCGAAAATCGATTTGAATGCCAGACCAATCCTGTTAAAGCACGTTCAGTGTCACAGGCTTTGACAGCGGCCGCGGTTGCATGCACTGAA